TTTAAATTGGTTAGTAAAGATCCAGTATCACCTGAGAACCCTGAGAGGTACTTTGAGGAAAAAGGCCTTTTATATAGAAAAATCTTAATAAATCCCAGGAAAAGAGGAGAGAGCCTTCATAAACTACTAGTGGTTCCTTCCAAATACAGAAAGAAAATAATAGAAAAAGGACACACAGACACCTTATTTGGACATTTAGGTATTACAGAGACTAAGCAAAGGATATCTCAGAAGTATTAATGGCCAAAAATGGGAAAGGAGATAAAAGAATTTTATCAAGCTTGTGACATATGTCAGAGGAAAAGAAATAGTGAAGATAAATCCAATAGGGAGGAAAAGAATAATAGGGATGATTATTATAATTATATTGAAGACATTAATAATATTTTTAAACAACTGAAACAGGAACATAGAAAGGTGTCAGTACTTGGAAATAGTGGGGATGAGGTGAAACAAGTTAACTTTGTGTATACAAACTCAAAAGGAAGACAGGGAACAATAAATTCAAAAATAGAGGGGAAGCCAGGTCCTAAAGCAGTAATTCAAGATATAAGTAACTTAGAGGACATTTGGCAGAGACCTCTAGAGATTGCAGCAGAGGGTTTGCAGGGCCAGCAATAGAAACAGGAGCTAGAGGCTGACAGAAAAGCCAAAGAGATAACATTTAACCCTGGAGATGAGGATCTGAAACTAGTACCCTTCAAAGGGAAAAGGTTACAATTAAATGGGGCAGATCCACACAAAATAATCCCTAAAATGAACAAAACAAATGATATAATCCAAGAGAAGAGAGAACCAGGGCAGAAAGAGGTTCAAACAAACTTGATAGAACCAGATTATAGAAGGGAGAACGTGATCCTAGGTGCTATGAAAGAAGCTGACAAGGAGAGATATGAAGTACTTTCCCTAGAGAAACAAAAAGAAGCGAGAGCCTTGCTGAGAAGACAGAAGCAGGTCTTCGCAAACTAACCAGGGGTAGCACAAGGAGCAGTGGACCACATTGATACAACAGGTGCAACTCCAAAGTGTTCACCAGAGATTAGAGAAATAGCTAGCTCTATAGCTAACTTAACACACAAAAAGAAAGCTGAAAATATCCAGGGGGCAAGCCAGAACAAGGAGGACATTGGGAAGTGGAAGGAGGCGGTGATGGCCGGTCTGATCGTGAGAGGCGTAGAGTCCCGGAAGGAGTTACACGCTGAGGTGTCCAGATTCGAACCCAGAGTTGTGCTGAGCCAAGCAGACGACAAGGAAGATCATCAGCCAGCTACGTTCCTGAGTGGAAAGCTGCAGACGGTTGAGAGACACCGTGCATCGATGGAATGTAAGTGGGACAAAAGGGGGTGGTTGTTACAAGAGATTAAGCCCTGCAAGGGGAAAGGACAATTTGGACTATGCACAGACTCTTTACCTTTAACTGAATTACAAACTGGGAAAGCCTGCAAAAAAAAACCCTGGCAAACTGGAAGAGGAACTTACAGAAAAAGCAAGACTCGAAAGACAGTTGCTGAAGCCTGGGCCTGAAGACCGAAGGAAGAAAAAAAAGGACTACTGAAAATAAAAGCAGAATGTGATAAACTTCCAGTTATGTATAAGTAAAAATAAGTAACTACAAATGTAATTGCATTGAAAATCAAAGAATGGTAAGCGATGTAGAAGGTAATAAGCTGTTCCAGTTATGTGTAAATAAAAGTAAGTAACTGCAAAAGTAACTGTACTTTTAAATGAAGAAGGGTAAGCAATGGAAAAGTGTATTGTAATAACAAATAAATTGAAAATGTTAATTGCAAATGTTAATTGATCGAAGTTAAAAATGTTGAGTACGTATTAATGTGAATTTAAAATGCGTAATGTTATTATAAGTTGGTGGAAATAGTAAACTGCTTCTATGTTGTTCATGGAGCAAACCACTATAGGTTTACTCCATGGAACAAACTTGCTAAGGGGGGAGGTATGTAACGGAATCCAAAAGATGATGTCATCCCTGCCTGTCAATCAGAGGATAGAGCAGGAGGGGCGGAGCAAAAAGGACAGTTAAGACAGCTGGAAGAGACAGTTAAGGAGACAGCTGGAATGAGATAGGGATAGCGTTGGAATCAGGGAGAGATAGAATTAGGGACCACAAGATGTTGAGAAAATGTTAGGGTTTAGGAATAGATAAAAAGGGGTTCAGAAAAGAAACTGAAAGATTAAAACACACATGTAACAGGCAGAAATGAACTTATAAGTAAAACATGGGAGATCTTGATTTAAAGTACACAAGAGCTCTGAATACCAGTGATTGAACATATGATTTATTATACATGAATACCTGAACCAGTTATATAGATTTCCTTTTTATTTGTTCATTAATAAAAGAATGTTTAATTGAAAACCTGATTCCTAAGTTATATGAGCAACTCCTGTGTGGGGGGGACCTGAATTGGTATTAAGAGAATACCTGGTGGCAGCGAAAAGGGCGTATTTACCTTTGTAGAGCCCAAAGATATAAAGGGCACAAAGGGGGATCGCCACAATACTGTACAAAAAAACAAAACTAATCCAATAAACTAAAACACTACCAACATTGCTAAAAACACTATTAATTATTTCTCCTAAAAGACTAGGTTGGAAGAGATACAACAGCAATAGTAAACATAAACATATCACAAAAAATTGTAACCAGTGTAATAACAATAATAATATTCCTGTATGCAGAAACCTACACTGAGGAGGAAAAGGGTTCTAATCCTACCTTTAGGTACGGGGATAGAAAGGTACCCATTCTGAATACACTGCGGGGGCTAGGGAAACATACATTTTATTGTCCTTTGTTTTAAAGGTTTGTTGGTAGTCATATTATATGTTTAAAGAATTCAAATCTACTCTCACACAAACACCCCGGAAGCTTCCCTACATTATACTTACAGGAAATTCCAAAGCTCCATAAAAAAGTCAAAAACATCTATTTTTAAAAAAATATGTGCTTTCTTTTCCAACTGTTTTAAGGTAACTGCCTGAAAAATTCAGTGTAATTTAAATATTAACTACCACAATTTCCTTCTAGATAGAGACTGGTATGCTCAATGTGAGCTGCAAGCAGTCAAAGAATGCATTCAAAACCACATTTAAAAAACCATAAATGTGAGAACAAATTTAATTAGATCTGGAGGAGGGAGCTGAGTTAGAATTTTTCTTCTTCTTTTCTTTGCAGCTACCCTCATAAAACAATTACCTGGTCAAAATCCAGCCTCATGATGGCCTTCTGAAGATATCTCACTCCGCCATGGATCAATTTAGTGCTTCTGCTGCTGGTCCCTGATGAGAAATCATCTCTTTCTACAAGGGCTGTTTTTAGGCCTGCGTAACCAGAAAACCAAATTAACTTCTTAAATTACACAATTTGTATGTAATTCATTAAAGACTCTTCTCTGGGGTAGAGACAATCAGAAGAAAAATTACTCTGAACACAGATAAATTTGTATTCACTGTGCACAGCACCATCTCGTTGGCAATGAAGAGCAGCAGCTTCTTCAGGGAAATCTTTTATTTTTTTTAAAGTGATACATGAAAAAGGCCACAGCTAGAGAATGTAAGAATAGACAAACAATTACTACGTATCTGAAAAAATGTGCAAGAAGCAACCAGGATTCAGTGAATAATAAACCTGTCTATTACCTGGGCTCTTTTCCACAGCATGTGAAGGCCACAATCCTGTGAGTGAGCCTCTTTGAACCCAATATGGCACATACTTTCAAGGAGATGTATATGAGATTACATTATGAATGAGATTGTTGGACTGGCTCAGGAAAGTTTGGCCAGGGTCTCAGTTTGTCAGATCACGCTCACCTTCTGAAAGTCAATAAACATGAAGATACCGAGCTATGGTAACTGAGCAGAATTAAGCCTGCAGAACTGCTTCCATCAGCAGAACTGGGAGAATGGTAACTTCCTTTCCTCATTTTAGGCATTCTAAGCTGTAAAAACCTGCTTCAGCATGCTTGGGAACTCTTCAGAAGAGATTTCTCAGCTGCCAGGAGGGCTACAAGGTAGGCAAGTCCCACTACATTAGGAGACATTCACTACACTAGCAAGCATGACACTGGGTTCAAGCCATGATTATCATCAGTATTTAATTAGGAATTGTCACTATTGCTCTCTGTGGGGCTCCCAAGGATGCCTTTTTACCTGTAATGTGGGATATAAACACTTCAAATGGAAAAAATACTGGCTTAATCAACTATCAGCTAAAGCTTCAGTTAATAAATTGGTTGGGAAATTTTTAAAATCAATAGGTGACAAAATTATGGATCATGATACTGTACTATGTTTGTTTTTTGGTTGTTTCTGCCTGTTTCTGCAAAAAAGAGAAACGACAGCATTAAAAGATGGCCTCTCCTTTCAACAACGAGTGATTATTAAATTAATACAATTAACAAAAGCAATTTTTCTCCTCCTTCAATATATCAAAAAGACACCTATTTCAACATTTCAGTAACATGAAAAATGTATTTACATTTTTATCAATTAAAGCACGACTAATTAATCAACAAAAATCCTCTCATCTGATGACAGTGTTAACACAGAGATTGGTTATCCTGTAATACACCTTAACAACCTTTTTGTACACCGAACAAAAGAGGGAAAATGGACCAAGTTCTTATCTTTTTTTTCCCCTTTAACTTGCTGGATCAGATTAAGGTCCACTATACCAAGCATTCTTTGCAAGAATTTCAGCAAATCAGGAGATGCTACAAAAACCAGAAATTATCCAATGATCACTGGCAAGACGGGGATCTACTTTCTGGTGCACCTTATATTAGCTCATGCAGACATGACACTTCTACCCACGCCCCTGCACTTCTACATGAGAACCCAAAGGCATACAACCTCAATTAAGTACAGAAGATCTGACATTTCTGTAAACATAAGGGACTATTCCAGACAGCATACAATACAAGATGCAGCAATGGCCATCAAGCTGGATGGCTTTAAAGACAGCTTAGAAGGATTTATGGAGCTTAAGGGCTAACAACTGCTGGCAGCAATTGTCAAGGGCAGCACACCTCTGAGTCACAGGTGCATGGGACAGTACTATTACTCTCCTGCCCTGCTTGATGGCTTTCAAGGGACACCTGGTTGACAAATAGTGGAACAGCAGGCAGGACCTAATAGGTATTTTGGATGATTCAGAATGGCTCTTCTAATATGAATGAAAGCACATAAGTAGCATGTCAGGTTTGTAAGAGACTCAGTGGCCTACTGCCTTACTAAAATAAGATGAACCCTATAAAAACGATACTACAGTATTTTTAAAAACAAGAACCCTAGGGTTTCTTTCTGTAGTTCTCATTACAAATGAGATCGATCCTAAATTATTTTTGTGGGACATTACCCAACAAAGAACACTGCATACAAAAATATGCAGATTATGTAGTACCTGAGGATTCAAATGATGTGCAGAGGTTATTTAATAAAATCAATAAAGTAAATAATGAAGGTGATCTAAAAATGATTGTTATGATAATCAAGATCATATACTCAATAAAACTAAACAGTTTTAAAAAAACAGTTAAAAGTCCAAAATGAAACTATGGCTCCTGTTAGCAAATACAGATATATTGGAATTACACTGAATAAAGAGAAGAATGTACTGGCTAAAGAATTTGGAATATTGGTTTGGACGCAGCAAAGCACCACTAAATGGTCAGAACAGTCATGAACTGTCATGATGTCATGGTTGGGGGGGGGAGAATAAGAACCCAACAAAGATCCAAGATGCCCTAACTGAGAAAAAGCAAGTCTCTGCATAAGTTTTGAGATAACAGTTCGAGGTATAGCTTTCTATGAATGTGTATCCTAAAAACAGTGTGTTCTATCAGGTACAGTATTCTTTCATTTTTTAATTAAATGTCAACAAAGTATATCCTACTGTCAACAAAGTATATCTCTACAAGCTGACAAATATTCTAATAAAATAAAGCTTTGAATGTAAGATTTAGACTATACTGTATTGTGTGGTTAATTTAATTTCCCCCTAAACAAATATTACAGTTCAAGTATTTTATAGCTATTGATATAGATTTCCTTTTTTAGTTTTTCTCTGTACTAAATATGAAATATCATATTAAGGAAAAATGTGTGTTTGGGAGTAAAAATGAGTCAAACAAACGTGCTAACTCAGATAACTTTACTTAGAGGACTGGAATGTTTTCTGGAAAATCTTCCAATTCTATTTTTCCCCCCAGGAAACCTACATTACAGGACATACATCAGCAATATGATGCACTCCATAAACAGGACGAAGCCAAGCAGCATTTAGACAAAGCTGAATTGTGTTGTGACATTACATTTACTGAGTTTAGAATGTGGTTATTTATAACACTTAGACACACTTACATAAGGTAAAGTATCTTCACTAGGCAATTGCCTGAATGCCTGGACATATGGGTAATGTTATAGTATGTTAAAAGAGGCGAAAGCACAGTAACATTGCTCCGCCCCTCAGAAACCAACATGTCCGTCTCAAAGAAAGGTCATAAATGGGAGAGGTGGGTGTATGCACATGATCTGTGCTTCTTTGTTGGGAGAACTGGGTTGTTACACTCAATCCACAAATACCTCAGCTGTTATCATAGAACAGCAACCAGTCTCCGGATTTACATGAGAGAGAGACATCTAAGAGAGACATGCCCGGCAATTTCCAACTTGCCAATAACTTTTTGGACCTTACATCCAAGAGCAAAATGCCTGGCAAAACCCATCATGCCATGTACATTTGGACTTTTAAGTTCATCACACTGGTACAAACCTGATGGTGTTCTAGTCCATGAAAACTCGTGAACTGTATAATGACTTTTTGGTTTTCTAGAAAAGTATCACCTATTTTTGGATTTGTATTTTGTTTGGACCACATGGCTAACCCTTACTTTGATAGTTCAAACGGTTAATTCAATAGCCATAATCAAAATTTAAATGCATCAGTTGTGCCTCAAATAAGGTATCTTGTGTGACAAACCCAGATGAGAGGACCTACTGGGATCTGCCACACAGTTACTGTGTATATCAGTTTCATGTTTCCTTCTCTCACCAAGCCGAGACCAGAGATCTCAGGAGAGGAGGAGGACCCATAGAATGTTTTTCCTTTCAAAATGCTGCTACTACCATTCCATTACCACCCCGTCGAATCTCAGGCTCAGAGGCTGCAATAAACAAGGCAAGCCATTAAAAGGAAACTGCCACCAAGGATTTCCTCAGAACAATTTTTTTAGCCCTTCTGTTACAAATCACACAGCAAGTTCCAGTGAAGGAAAAGGGATGGGTCAAAGACGACTCACTGTCCCAAAATAAAGTTCTGCTTCTCCTGCTCCTTTTGCATCTTGAGTTGAGTTGGAATTTTTCTGTTTTTTGTTTCAGAGGGAGATGAGAGTACGTATTCATGCTTGCAAAAACAAACAGCCAGCAGAAATTTTCAGACAGAACACAGAGCAGGATACAAATTAGAGATGAAGCACATTTTGGGTGGTGTTACCACCAAAAACTTCTTTCACCACCTATAAACTTTAGAACTGACTACTTTGTCCCAGCTCCTCGCCAACCTAGCAGTTTGAAAGCATGTAAATGTGAGTAGATAAATAGGTACCACCTCAGTGGAAAGGTAAAACGGCGTTCCCTAGTCACGCTGGCCACGTGACAATGGAAACTGTCTTCAGACAAGCGCTGGCTCTACAGCTTGAAAAACGGGATGAGCACCGCCCCCTAGAGTCGGACACGACTGGACTAAAAATATCAAGGAGAACCTTTACCTTACAGCAGAAAAAAGGCAGGTCTGGGGGAGAAATTTCACTCCTCTGGATCTTGCCATGGTTTGTGTGTGCATGTCTGTACACACAAACACATACTATCGCAGTACACCATGAAAAAGAAAAACAAACTCTCTGACAAATAAAGTGATTTCTACCATCATCTGTTTCGAGACATCCGACTAGACGGCATTTGAGAAGGCAGTCTGTAATGGAGCCAGTATTGAGATGGGAATCAGAGCCATTTCATCAGAGCTGCTACAATGACAACTTGGATTTTAACTCTTTCTTTTTCTTTCTCTTTTCCTCTCATGCTGTTACTCTTCTGGTGGCAAGGCAATGGCAGGCATTATATTTTCTTTTCCGCTCTATTATTCTTTGAGGCAGAAGAGGGGCATTACACAAGTAGAAATACTGTAAACAGTTGGTGGTTCTGGCATTCATAGAATCATAAAATAATAGAATTGGAAAGGGTTTATAACAGTGGTCCCCAACCTTTTTACTGCGGACCGGTTGGGGAAGGCAGGGCATCCCCCCTCGCTCGCAAGCACACACGAA